CCCCACCCCTCCCTTCTCCTCTCCTCCCCTCCCTTCCCCGCGCTCTGCGCTCCGGGCTTCGCCTGACATCTAGCTGCTGCTGGGGCGCCAGCGGCCGCCGCGCACCGGCCAGGCAGAGGATGGAAGGGGCTAGTGGAGAGGAGTGTAAGGGACTCGAAACCCTTAACCGGGAGCACCGGGGGCGTAGAGCGAGGAGCGGACCCCACCTCACTCCCAGGCTTTCACTGACCATTGGACTCGAGTTCTGCCCCCTCCCCTGCTCCGAGCCCATTTTGTCCTCAGTGTTTCCCCAATTCGGTGTGTGTCACCTCCCTTTTCACTTTTTTCCAGGTTCAGGGGTACTGCATCTCCAGTACCCCCGACACTGGTTTTAAAAGGACAGTTTCGCAGCCCAAACCCAGGCCTCTCAAGTCTTCCAGCAACTGCGCTCCTCTGGGCAAGACCCATCTGCTTTCGAGACGTCTCTGGGCGCAGAATTCGCCGGCCCGGGTGAACCAGGTGCCAGAGGGTCCGCGAGGATCTGTCGTCAGGAGGGCACTCCCCATTCTAGCTGTCACGGTGGCTAGAAGCCGAGGTCGAGTTCTGAAAAGAACTTTTCCCTCTCCCAGTGTTGGGCAGCCCCTCGGCTCTGCCCTCCTGCAACCTGGGGAGAAACTGTTCCCGCGAGCGGCGCGGGGCTCAGCGCGGTCACGGGGGCGGGCGGAAGCCTGGAAGAGCTCCGGACCCCTCGGAAGGGCGTCCTCCTCTCCACCCCGCGCCCCAAAGAACACTTGCCCTTCCTCAGGCTGCGGAAAGCTTCCCCCTCCTGTTCCCAGGAGCGGGCGAAGGTGGGAAGCGCCCTTCCGGGTACCGGCCATGGCCTTTGACCGAAGTCCGGGAGGCTCTTCCGGGTACCGGCCATGGCCTTTGACCGAAGTCCGGGAGCATCGCGGGGAGGCGGAGAGCGCCATCCAGGGGTCTCGCGCCGGAGCCCCTGAGGTCTCGCGGTTTTAGCGACGCCAGGGCGTCGATCACGGAGCCCTCCGTTGGCCTGTTGTGTGGGGGACTCGCGGGCTAGCCAAAGGTTTGGCACAGGACTTATATAAAACCACTTCTCCCTCTCTGCCTCTGGCACTGCCCAGACCGAGAGTAAAGCCCCCAGAGCTGTAGGCTCCCGAAGGTGCGGACTAGGGACAAAAACCCACTTGTGACCGCGGAAAGCCGGGCGGCGAGTTTAAACTGAACCAAGTGCACAAGAGCCGCTACCGGGGGCACAGGGGTGGTCTCAAGAAGAGGCGTCGCTCCTGTCCCTTACTTGCAGGAAAAGTGCCCACTCCTCAGGAGACTGGAGAGAAGCTGGACAGGGGAGCACGCTGGACGCGAAGGGAGGGGACTGGTAGCTCTCTGCTCCGCGCGCACAGCGAACCTTTGCGGAGGGGGCGGCGGTGCCTGGGCGCATGGAGAGGGAGGAGGACGTAGGAGAAGGGACTGGGGCGTGGCCATCCGCACCCCGGGGGGGATTTCTCGTTTTCCCTCTCACTTTCTGTCTCTTCAGCGAGGGCACGCGCCCTACGGCTAAAACCTAAAGAATAATCATCACAATCGTAAAGAGCAATCCCTTTTGGAAGACTACCTATTTCTCTAGTCAATGTCTATGCCCCCTTAAGAGAAAGGGACTTAAAGAAAGTTGGGAAAACTGGTCTTTAAGGAGAACAAGAGGGGTCGGATAGAGAAGAAGACCCTCCTAATGCCTCACCAAGGAAAGAAAAAGAATCGGAAAACTTGTTGAGCTTCTGCAGGGTGGTGCCGACTGGGGGTTGCCATTGGGATGCCCCCCATCCACCTACCAGCCCCTCCCAGTGCCAGAGCCCAGAAGTACACAATTAGCCCCCATCTTGATCTCCTATTAATCCTCACTCAGAGAAAAAGAGGATCTCTGGAAACAATGGGAGAGAAAGAACAATCCCTCCATAGCTCTGGCCTCTCCCACCCCCATGCCATAGTCACTATGTGAAAATCTCCCTTGCTTCATAAACTCTGCCCATTAAAAAGCCCAGCCCTTGTTAGTAAGTGTTAAGGGGAGATTAATGCCTGGATTTAAGAGGTGGAGAAGGTAACAAAAAGGAAGAAGGCAGGCAAGGCTGCAGGCTCAGTGCCAGCCCTGGGCTCCAAGCGTTTCCACTTAGCGCTGAAGGCTGGCTGCACAGCAGTTTGATAAGGTTTATTGGGCCCAGATAAAGCAGCAGCAGCTCCCCCACCAAAACTGGCGCCATTTATAGCCAGAGCTGTGTCCTTGGGTCCTGGGAAGGCTGATGAGAATCCCCAGTTCCGAGGTTTCATATGGCAGCACCTAAAAACAAGTGGGATGGAAAATTACAAGAAGAAAATAAAAAATTAAAAAAGAAACCTTCTAATATATTCATATATTTGTGGGTGTTTTTAAAACTGTCTTGAGGGGTTCAGTAAGGGAAACTGGGCCTTTGGTTCTCCTTAAAATATCAGAGATCTGAAACCAGCAGTTAGCGTAATGGCTATAGCTGTCACTGGACTCCCATGTAGCCAGCCGCAGTTCGAGTCCCAGACCTGGTGGCTTAAACTCACACCGGGCGCATGGGCGTGTGTGCCCAAGATCCTGAGAGGAGAATGGAGGAGAAGGGATTGTGGCGTGGCCATGCCCCCTGAGAGGTGATTTCTCACTTTCTATCTCTCCGTCTCTCTCTGTCTTTCTGGCAAGCACACACGCCCTATAGCAAAAAACCTCTCCAAAAAAAAAAAAATCAAAGATCTCAACCTTAGAAGCAAGCCATGCTAGAGACAGGGAACGGATGAGTTGACCCTTGGGTGGAATTCCATTGCTAACTCGGATTCCCCTGTCTTCTCCTTTACCTTTCCACTTCCCAGCAGAGGCCGCTTTTCAGAGCTCAGTCAGCAGAAGAAGCCATTTGAGGTCTAAGGACACAGTTGGAATAGTAACTCATTCTGAGCGCTGACCACGTTACCTATGTGATTCCTTTAATCCTCATAACAACCCTATCTTCATAGGTACTATTATTTTCCCCATTTGTGCAGAAAAGGACACTGAGGCTCAGGGCCAGCAGATCACATGGAGGTTCAGGTGGCTGGATCCCACACGGACAACTGCACACATCAAATCTCCAACCACCAGCTTAAAAAACATGCCAGGCTCTGTGCATACAAGCCCCAAATTCTGAAAGAATGGAGGAGAAGAGATGCAGAGTGGCCATCCTTCCTAAGGATGATTTCTCATGTTCTCTCTCTGTCTCTGTATCTCTCTCTCTCTCTCTCTCTCTCTCTCTCTCCCCCCCCACAAGAGCACGAGCCCTATAGCAAAACTAAAAATAAATAAATAAAAAGAAAACTGAGGTTCTGGTCCACATCTAAGCATCAGAGCTCAGACTTTTTTTTTTTTTTTTTTTAGGTTTCTGCTATAGGGCATGTGTGCTCACCAGAAAGACAGGGACAGAGAGACAGAAAGCCGAGAAATCACCCCCCGGGGGGATGGCCACGCCACAATCCCTTCTCTGTTCTCCTCTTGGGATCTTGGGTACACACGCTCATGCCAGGCGTGAGTTTAAGCCACTGGGTCCGGGACTTGAACCATGGCCGACTACATGGGAGTCCAGCCACATAGCCATTATGCCGACTCCTGGTCCCAGAGCTCGAACTATTTTTTAATAAAAGAATTCTATTATTTAGTTCTGTTTATTTGTTTGTTTATTTATTTTAATTTGACCAGAGAGTGGCAGAGAGAGAGAGAAGGTGAGAAAGCAAGTCACCAGGTCCTAGACTCGAACCGCAGTTGGCCATGTGGGAATCCAGGGTCCTTAACCATCACACCACCTGCTAGCCCCAGAGCTCAGACTTTAAATCAGACCACTCTGACTGCAGAGCTCATGCTTTTAACTGTGAGATTATACAGCCTCTCATGAGACAGATCAAGAAAACAAGGGCTTTTCATTTTCCTCCTCCTCTTCCTCCTCTGAGGCTGAGGTCTATGCAGCAGTCAGCCAAGCTGAGGACTGACTGGGTACCAGGTCAACAAATTTAGATCCTCCAGGATGGAGCTAGGCAAATCCTTCCCTTGTATCACAGGGAGAAGTTGGGAAAGACGTTCTGAATTACAATTAAACTTCTTTAAGAAGAAGGATGTAGTGGGGTTTGGGGTGTTCTGATGGAGTGTGAAAAGAGTGTGTAACTTCCGGTTCCAGCTCCCTTCTGAACATATTTCTTTTATTTCAATTTTTTGTATTTATTTTTTAGTTTTCATTTGCTACAGGGCACATGTGCTTGCCAGAAAGAGACAGAGAGGGGGGGGGGGAAGTGGGAAATCATTCCCCAGGGAGGATGGCCACGCCTCAGTCCCTTCTCCTCCATTCTTCTCTCAGGTCTTTGGGCACCCATGTACATACAGCTGGCATGTTTTTCAAGCAGCCGAAAATGGGACTCAAACAAGGAGTCAGCCATGTGGGATCCAGCTGCCTTAACCTTCACACTACCTGCTGGCCCCATTTTATGTTTTTAAAGTAAGCTTGCTTGCTTCTAAATTTTTTAAACATTTATTTTTTTTATTGCCAGTTGTGTGTGCACTCATCAGAGAAAGAACAAGCACCCCGTAATGGGGTGTGGTCATGACACAATCCTTTCTCCTCCATTTCTCCTACCTGTCTTTATGGGCATGCATGCACACGTGCCCAGCCTGATTTTCAAGTCACCAGGGCTGGGAGTGGAACTGGCAATCCACCATGTGAGACCCGGCCCCCATGCTTAGTGGTTAAGCACTGCACTGTTTAACTACTGTTGGGGGCTGGCCCTTGGCT